ATTTTTTTTTTTTTCTTTTTTTTTTTTTTTTTTTTTTTTATAGTTTATTTTGATGTAGAGAGGAAGGAGAGAGAGAGAAACACTGATGTGAGAGTGAAACGCCGATCGGCCGCCTCCCGCACGCCCCCTGCTGGGGACCGAGCCAGCAACCAGGCGCGTGCCCTGACCGGGAATCGAACCGGCGACCTCTTGGTGCCAGGATGACACCCAACCAACCGAGCCACACTGGCCAGGGCCACAGGGTTTAATTTTAAAGTTAAAAAATGTTTACGATGATCAATGTTAGTTATTTTTAAATTTATCTTTTATATTTCTTCCCACATTTAGAAACTCAAGTTTACTACACGCCTATGGTATCTCTTCTCTTTAGAAAACCATATCAGAGAGTCGAGCAAGAAATAGGCAAAAAAGGGGGGACACGGATGTCAAAAGCATACAGACAAGATTAAACTCATGTAAATTTCCCTCAAGTGCTTAGAAACAGGAATATGAACAAAGTCAAAGCTCAGATATAATTTTAAAGGACTTATCAGGCAGCAGAATAAATGAAACGAATTAGATTTTTTTTTTCCTTTCCGTGCTTTTTGCGTTTGGTTTCGTGTGTGTTGGGGGCCAAGCGTCCACTGAAGAGGGCAATGCGTGTATTTTTCTAGATTAGGGGCGAAGAGCTGTGAGGAAAGAAGGAACCCGTAGGCGCGTAAAGGCACAGAGTTTCCCTGATCAGGAACTTCGAGGAGCTCCAACAAACGCTCAGGGAATGTCTCAGAAGGACAAAGCAGTGACCTTGAAACTGTACGTGACTCCCGTCAGAGGTTTCAGATGGCTTCGTGGGGCCCGGCCGGAGTGGCTCAGCGACGGAGCCTCACCCCAAGAACCAGGAGGTCACCGGCTCGATTCCTGGTCGGGGTGCAGGGTCAGGGGGCAGGGTCGGGGCGCGTGCCCAGGCTGCGGGCTCCATCCCTGGGGGGGGCGTGCAGGAGGCAGCCCGGGGATGTTTCTCTCTCTCTCTCCCTCTCCCTTCCTCTCTCTCTCAAACCAATAAAAGACATATATATATATAAATAAATAAAATGGCTTCGTGTGGAATTCTAGGAACCACGGCACTGAAGCATCTATCCCAGCCTGTTTCCTCTTTTTCAGGAAACAGACCCAATCACTGAGCTGCAACAACAGTGAGGACAAGGTCAGCCCACGGGGATGGAGCTCCCAGCACCCGACAGGTCAGGAGAGTAACCAGCACCTGGACCCGGACAATGCCCGGAACCGCCCGCCCCGCCCGGCACGCCCAACGGGCTTTCGGCGTCGGGAAGAAGCCGCCCCCTCTCGCCAGCTGATGAAGGACCGTGTTAAAGCAGCTACTCCAACGTCTCCTGGGATGCCCGCAGGTTTCTCTCCTCTCACCCACTGGCATTACGTCCTCGGTGGGCGCCCGGGCACAATGCAGTCTTCTTGCGCTTCCAGGGCGAGCCTGTCTTGCTCGCGGCACATGACTCACGGCGCTGATGTTTACGTAGGAGCCCGGCCCATTATTTCAAATGCCAGGTTGATCATTTGTTTTCCTCTCTGGGCGCTGTCATCTGGTTCTGATGTCGGGGTCAAGCCAGCCTCGCGGGAGGCGCTGGGAAGCTCCATCCTCTCCCGCGCCCTAAAGCAATCCAAGCCACGGCCGCAGGAACCGTTCCTCGAAGGGCTGAGAGGACTCGCCCACCAACAGGCTGAGAATCAGGCCTCTGCGCAGGCAGAGCAAGGGTGAGGACTTTTTATTATTTTTATTTTTAAAAATTCTCATCTGAGGATGTGTTTTTATTGAGGTTAGAGGGAGAGGAAAGGAGAGCGGGAGAGAGAGAGAAAAACGTCGATCGGTTGCCTCCTGTATATGCGCCATCTGGGGATCAAACCCGCAACCTGCGTATGGGGCGATGCTCTGAACACCCGAGCCACCAGCCAGGGCTGGGGGAGGCCTTTGAATTACTTTTGGTAAAAAGCAGCTTTATTAGCCCTGGCCGGGCAGCTCAGCTGGTCAGAGTCGTCCCGATGCGCCAAGGTCGCAGGATTGATCCCCGGTCAGGGTCCATGCAAGAAGCATCACTAAATGGAACAAGAAATCCAGGTTTCTCTCTGTCCCACCCCTCAAATCAGTACATGAAACTACTTTTATTGAGATAGAGTCACATCCATACCATTCACCCATTTCAAGTGTACAATTCAATTAAACACTTTTTAAATTCCTTTTATGCTGATTGACCAAAGAGATAATCCACTAACGAGAGAAAAAAAAATTAATAATATTTATTCAAAAGTGATTGAAGGAAAAAAAGTGATTTTAAAATTTATTGGTCAAGTTTGATACATACAGGTTTCTTTCAATGTTATTTTCTACATCTCCGCACTTGCGATGAAGAAGCCCCTTATTTCGAACGTGTCGCATTTTAACGCGAGCAGGCCCGGCCGCGGTTTATCCGCTGTACTGGTCATTCCCGAGAACGAACCTTCCGTTTCCGTTGAGCGGGAGTACGCCTGGATTTGGTTTCACTGGCTGCCGTCAGGTCAGTAGGACTTGGGGAGGGAAGGGAAATAAACTGATATATTCAGCAAACCATCCTGAGTCACACGTGGGGCGGCCCACAGCGGGCAGCCGCCGGGGTCACCACCCAAGCCCCTATCCCGACGGGACACGCTCGCTCCCTCAGACGGACGCATCACGGGTGACCAGAGCCTAAACTCAGGCCCGTCATCGCCTGCGCATCTTTGGGGCTTAGCGATATGATAAAACCCTTCTGCTGTGGGCCCCTGGCTACCCAAAACACAGCACGTCACGGCCCTCCAATACGGGCACGCATGACGTGAGGAATGACGATTTGACCTGGCCAGGGCGGCTCAGTCGGTTGAGCGTCGACCTAGGATCCAGGAGACGCGGTTCGACTCCCACGTCCCTGTCGCGGGCTTGCTCCCCGGTCGGGTGCATGCAGGCGGCAGCTGACCGACGCTTCCTTCTCGCCAGACGTCTCTCCCCCCCCCAAAAAAAATCAATAAAAACATGAAAAAAAGAAATATAATATCAAGTCAAATTATGATAAAAGGGCCTGCAGAGTATAAGGCACCGATGACTGGAGCTTCCTTTCCACCCGAGGGCCTCGGGTCCTTTCCTCGCGCTGCAGGCAGGAGCCAGGCCCCTCCGGCGGGGACTCGGGCATCCAGGTTCCCGGGGGAGCGAGTGCAGAAGGAAAGCAGGCAGATCTAGACCGGACCTGCATCAGAGCCGCCACCGCCTTCTGTGACCGTGAGCTGGTTACGTAACCCCTTGGAGCCTGAAACGCATTTGTCAAGTGGGGATAACACCATCTTTCCTGCAGGTGATGCCGAGGAACAGGGACTGATAAACAGCTCATCACAAATGCTGCCGACTGGCCCGGGCGCCCGATGCTCACGTGGGCAAGTCCAGCCGTACAGACGGGGAACCTACCCCTGGATGGGCGGCTGTCGCCCGACGGGGGCACTAATGGTGACGTTGATTTTTAAAAAAATCCTCTCCCAAGGATATTTTTCCCATTGTTTTTCAGAGAGAGTGGAATGGAGAGAGAGAGAGAAACATCCATGTGAGAGAGACGCGTCGACTGGTTGCCTCCTGCATGCACCCTGACCAGGGCCGGGGGCTTGAGCCTGCAACTGAGGCACGTGCCCTTGGCCTGAATCGAACCCGGGACCCCACAATCCGTGGGCCAACGCTCTAGCCTCTGAGCAAAACCCGCCAGGGCTCTCACAGCTTTTAAGTGGAAGCAACGGGACTCTGGCCTGGGTCTGACTCACGATGGCTCTAATTATATACGCGACTTAAAGGAGGGGTGGAGGGGGGGCGCCCCAAAGTTGGAGACGTCAAGGTGGAAAGCGACAGCCACTCGGAGGGCATAAGCCGTCGGGACGCGGGCGTGGGCGTCGCTGACGGGCCAGTGGCCTGAGTAAACACTGCATTTCAAGGAAAACCAGCCTGTGATCTACAAGATAACAGTTTCCTGGTAGCAGCCTCCTGTTTGTTACAAAGTTACAAAGGGCCAGGCGCGCACATGGAGCCAGGCCTGCGGGAACTCCGCGACCCTACCCGGGTTCAGGTACCCGGGAAACAGCTCAGAGCGGCAGAGAGGCCGATGAAACAGACGAAAGAAGTGACCAAATTTAACCCAAGGGCTCCCAAGTCAGTTTCCTCCCCCAAAAGGCTCCCCCCCCTTATTATCGGAGGCACGTTACGTTCTCTCCCCCCAACATCGGCATGAACGCAACCAGAGGAGGGAGACCCAAGGCTTCCCTGGGGTCCCAGGTTACCTACGCCACTCGACACGCTTCCCCCGTTGTTCCTGCCTTTCAGGTGTCCCCTCCTGGGAGCAATAAACATATTCGGACTCCTATTTATAGGATATATATATATATATATATAATTTTTATATATAATATATATAAATATATATATATTTAGGTGGGAGACACACGAGCCATTGTCCTTCCCTCAGTCCCTCCACCGAGACACTGCTCTGTGATTACGACACGGTAACTCGGCGAATGGATGTCCTCCCAGCGCCTCCGACAGAAAGTCCTCCTTTTCTTAAATTATTATTAATATGTTTTCATTGATTTTTAGAGAGAGAGGAAGGGACAGGGAGAGAGAGACAGAAACAGCATTGAGAGAGAAACATCCATCGGCTGCCTCCGACTGGGGACGGAGCCCGCAACCCAGGCCTGTGCCCTGGCCGGGAATCGAACCCTGACCTCTTGGTTCCTGGGTCGACCCTCGACCGCTGAGCCACGCCGGCCGGGCAAAGGCCTTAATTCTTCTTAAGGCGTGACCCGGACCCCTCAAAGTGCACTAAGTCTAACCGGCAGAGTAAAAGTTAAAGCTCATATATATATATATATATACACACATACTCCAAACATTTACTAAAAACTAAGTCCCGCTCATCACAGGATCTCCGAGAGCGGGTAAATGTTAAGTTGTCGGTCCCTGCCCTCCTGGAGCTTACAAATCAATGGCAAAGAAATGTGGGTAACGCGTGTCTCCCTCCCAGCCCAGATCGACTGTGGGGCATCGTGAGGCCCTGCGTGACGGGCAGATGTCCGGGGAGCGCAATATTTAGGCAGGAAAATTGGGAGGACCTGGTCGCTTGGGTGTGGGAGAGCGAGCGAGCCACGGCTAAGCACCATGCCTGTTAACAGGAAACACACTCAGCGGATGGGGTGCCACTTACTGACTTGGGCTCGCTTTAGAAAAAGGGGGGGAGGGGGCAGGAGGCTGGAGCAGACAGGCTGTGACGTGCACCAGGCAGAGACGCGAGCAGGTAACCAAATCCGCAGGTGAGGCCTGGCTGCAGGGATCTACCTGGGATCGCCCGTTACTAAAGCATCGGGGTAACTAAATCCATGGGATTAAGACACTGGGCAACAGGTGTCACGGTAACCGGAGCCCGGGAAGGACATCGGAGGGTCTCGGATGAGGGTGTGGAAAGAGAAGGGACCTAGGACAGGGCCGCGAGGACGCCCAGCGTCTGATGCTCGAGAAAGAAGAGCGACGTGAGGTACGCAATGACCTCACCAAGCCTGTTACCAAACCGGGAAAAAAAAGTAAGAAACGAACAGGCAGACACGTCGGAGGAATGCTGTGTGGGAGAAGGGACAGACATTTCTGCGGACTGTTACTCAGAGGCCTGGGGGGTGTTCCCTGGCGTCTGCAAAAAGGAGCCACAGGCGAACACCTCAGGGAGCTTGGGCGGAGCCGTGAAAATGGGCCAAAGAAAGAAGAGGGGAGAAGACAGAACGAGGGCTTCCCAGTAAAGGATTATTCCTATCGGTTATGCAGACAGGCTCGGGGCTCGGACTTGCAAAGTCTGTGCTTGTAACCTGCCCCCCCCATGTTCCCCCGAAGTAATTTATTTAACCTCTTTTTTTTTTTTAAAGCGTGTTTTTAAAAAAACAAATTTTTATTGATTTCAGAGAGAGGAAGGGAGAGGGAGAGATGGACAGAAACATCAATGACAGAGAAACACCGATCGGCTGCCCCCTGCACGGCCCCTGCTGGGGATCGAGCCTGCGACCCGGGCACCTGCCCCGACCTGGATCGAACCTCGACCTCCTGGTTCATGGGGTCGACGCTCAACCGCTGAGCCACACTGGCTGGGCTAACCTCTCACTTTCATGACTTCTTCTATAAAACGGGGGACGCTAAACATACGTCCCCCTTAAGGCTGTCCTGAGGATTAGAGGAGATACACGTAAGGGGCTTGGAACAGGGCCAGCTATTACCATCATCATAAAAAATATAAAAATCCTCCAATTTTTTTCCAAGTAAACGCCAAATGCTTTGTAGTACCAACTGTTTTCCGACTTTAAAATTCACAGGTAAGCCCGGCCAGGCGTGGCTCAGCGGTTGAGCGTCGACCTAGGATCCAGGCGATCGGGGTTCGATTCCCGGTCAGGGCACATGCCCGGGTTGCGGGCTCGATCAGTGACTCATCATTGATGTTTCTATCTCTCTCTCCCTCTCCTTTCCTCTCACTGAAATCAATGGAGATATATTAAAAAAATAATAATAATAAATAAAATAAAATAAAATTCACAGGGAAGATGGGAAGTCACAGGGGCGCTGGTTTAACAACCTTCCAGGGTTTGCCCGCCCTGCACAGAGTTGCAGGCGGGGACCACCCAGGCCACTGGACAGGCGTCTGGACCCCCGGGGTCCACAAGACAACTCCTGTCGGACGTAAGCTCATCAATGCGCAGCTGGGTCCTGACTTCAGAGACAGGGAAAGCGCACCTGGAAAATGACTGCATGTGGTAAGCTAGAGGAGAAACAGTTCGTTAGAAACGTTTGGTAAAACTGCAACAATGTCTACAATCGGAAACAATGTCTCCTGTGTAAGGGGAGTGTGCGAACTCAGACGGGAAGGTGGAGGCCGGGGACAGACGACCAGAGCGGCCTCTGCTCCGTCACGTGGCCGAGGAGCCCCCCAGCTGTGCTGTCCCCGCAAACCTGACACTTGACGTCTCTGCCACCAGAGGTCAGCACCTGTCACACTATCGTCAAGAAGCCTCCAAGTGCACTCGGGAGCCTCCGAGCAGCTGCTCCGAGCTCAGGGACAGGGATCCTTTCTCGGGTCACCACAAACGGGCAGAGATAATTCGCCCTTAAGCAAGTCCGAGTAGCGTTTCTCAACCTTCTTGTCACTGCCCATCTCCCCTCTTTTTATACACTTCCCCTTAACTGTCCTATCCCCGTGAAGCTAAAACCACAGACACACAGGGTGTCCCCCAAAATGTATATGTGCTTTGAACGGTCATAAAGTCCGTGTTTATTGACATACAGCTCAATTTCAAAATTCAAAAGAATCTATAGAAATGAATGATTTATTTTTATTTTTTTTTTTGGTCAGCGCCTGTTTTCAAACTGATGACCGTTCCGGTGCAGGCCCTGCTGGTCACGGGAAGCAGTGGACTCGCAAACATCAAGATCATTTTGTGCTGTATTTGTGGGCCCTCGATGCCTCGACTGTTGCTGGGTTTGCACCGTGAACTTTATCTTTTACGTGTCCCCATTAAAAAAAAGTCTAGTGGCCCTTTAGGATAAGTTTTCTTTGTTCAGAGCTTAGTCTGGTTTCACCCATTCTTTCGAATCAGTTAAACCTGAAAAGGAGTGAAAATTAAGTGAGTTACCAGCTGTGAAAGTGCGTGTACATTTTTGGGGGGACGCCCTGTATGTATACCGCCTACCTGTCCGCGTCCCGTGGCCCTCTGGACGGCCACAGACCCCTCTGAATGACCAGGCGGACCAGTCTCGCTATGAATCTGAGTTTGGGGGCATGTTCTGAACAGGCTACGCCTGGGAAAATGTCCTGCAGGTGGCGGAGGAACAGCCGGGA